GCCTCACGTATGGAGGCGGCATTGTAGCGCATCAGCGCCTCGGCAGGATCCTCATCCGGACTGAGAGTGATCTCCTTCAGGCCCAGCTTGTACTCCCGCCGCAGAGCGTTCAAAGAACTCTCATCGATGGTCTCCAGGGTACCGTATTCGGCATTGCGTCGATGGCGGCCGCTTCGACGGCGAGCGCCTCGACAGCGACAGCCCTGGGTAGCACCTGCTTCTCCAGCGCCGCTACATTGGCATCCCCTGCCGCAGCGGCAATGGGAGCTGGCACAGCCGCAACCCTTGTGGGCCACATTCCCCAAAGATCTGTGAAAGATGGCTAACCTTTTGTGTAGTCGCTGTTGCGGTGTTGCTGGTGGCGTCGTCTGTGGGGTCGTCTGGTTAATGCTTCGCTGCTGCTGCTGCTGTTGCTGTTGCTGCTGCTGCTGCTGCACTCCGTTGGGATTGCCGGGGTTTATTGTCTGAAATGCGTCGCCTGTTTAATGACATGAGGAGGACCACGGAGAGAGAGACCAAACCAAAAGAAAGGCGAATGAATCTTATGAAATGGTTCAAATGAAGGCAACTACGGAGGTGTCTACGTGTATTCGTGGCGGTGTGTGGGTGCTAGTGGTGTGTGGTGTATGGTGTATGGTGTATGCTGGAGGAGAGGCTTCTATAGGTTTCAACTTACCCTCGCCATCGTCTGGTGCTGTCGCAGCATCTCGTCGACCTCCTCATTGCCCAGGGCAGCCCGATAGCCGGAGCTCGAGTAGCCGCCGCCTCCATAAGCATTCGATCCGTAGCCGCCGCCACCGTAGCTGGTACCATAGCTGGGCACCGGCTGTGGACGTGGCAGCTGCTGCTGTACGGCATAGTAGTTGATCACAGTGGGCGATCCTTGGCCATGCTTGGACTTCTTGCGCTTGTTGCCGCCCAGGCCCAGAACATCGACTCCTGGAGATGATAAGGTTGGGTCACGGTCACGAACACGGCTACGGAATACGCCAAAGAGATTACCTTTGTGGCGTGCCTGGCCAGGTACCTCCGGCATCTGCGGTTCTGCCTCGCCCAGCAGCGATTCACCCTCTTCTGCTGCGTTGGTACCCTCCTGTTGGCCCTCACCTTGGGGCTCGCCCCACTGACGGGCTGCATGCATTGGATCCTCATTCTTGAGCTGCATCCTCATGTCAAGCTGCTGCATTTGCATGGGATCCATTGTCATCTGTCTTTGCTGTTGCATCATCATCATGGGATGCTGCTGCATTTTGGCCTCGTTTTTCTCGGCTTCCCACTGCCTCTGCTGCTGAATGATGGGATTCTGTTGCATTTGCGGAGGCGCCACCGCCATTTGTCGCTGCTGCATCATCATGGGCTGCTGCTCCATACGCACGGGCTGTTGCATCATCATCATCGGCTGCTGCTCCATTCGCTGCTGCATCATCATGGGCTGCTGTTGCATTTGCGCATGCTCTGCCATCATCTGCCTCTGTACCTGCTGCTGCAGCATTTGAGCATGCTCCGACATCATCTGCCTCTGCTGCATCATCATGGGGTTCTGTTGCAGTTTGGCCTCGTTTTGTTCGGCTTCCCACTGCCTCTGTTGCATCATCATGGGCTGCTCCTGCTGCTGTTGCTCGGCCATCATCTGCCTCTGCTGTTGCATTTTTGCTTCGTTTTGCTCGGCCTCCCACTGCCTCTGCTGCATCATCATGGGGTTCTGCTGCTGCTGTTGCTCCGCCATCATCTGCCTCTGCTGTTGCATTTTTGCTTCGTTTTGCTCGGCCTCCCACTGCCTCTGCTGCATCATCATGGGGTTCTGCTGCTGCTGTTGCTCCGCCATCATCTGCCTCTGCTGTTGCATTTTTGCTTCGTTTTGCTCGGCCTCCCACTGCCTCTGCTGCATCATCATGGGATTCTGTTGAATTTTGGCCTCGTTTTTCTCGGCTTCCCACTGCCTCTGCTGCATCTGAGGCATGGGCTGCTGCTGCTGCATCTGTCGCGGCTGGTGCTGCATCATTTGCGGATTCTCTGGTTTCCCTTGCGCCTCTCCAGTGGCTCGGTAGGCGGCATAGATCTTGTCCTCTTTGCTCTTCTCCTGGGCTGCCGACTGCTGCTCTGTTGCCATGCGATAGGCATATGCCATGATCTTCACAATATCCTCCTTGGACATGGACGCCTCCGAGGGCATGGTCTGGCGCTTGAAGGCGGCGTGGTTGGCGCGCGACTTGCGCTGCGCCTCCTTATGGAGCAGACGTCGGACGTAGTCATCGCGCAGGGCCCGCTCAATGTCCGCCCGTGTGATTTTGTGGACGGGGGTGCGACTCAGGGGATAGGAGACTTTATAAGGGCTACCACTGCTGGAAGTGGCGCTCGAGCGCATCTCCTTGGCCACGCGCTCAATCTGCTGGAGCATCTTCAGCTCGGCAATGACCTGGCGCTCGAACGCTCTCAGCTTCGCCTCGACACGCAGATCCTCCAGCGGCTTGGCCTCGCCTTCATCGCCCTGACGGTTCATGGGCATGCGAAACCAGAGCAATGGCACCCGCTCCTTGTCATCCAGGTCGTTCTCCTGCGAGTCGGCCGCCTCGGGCCTAACTCGCACCTCGGATATGTCCGAGGCCTGGCCATCAGAGCCGGGCGCAGGGCCAGGATTGGCGGGCGGTCCTCCCGGCCACATCTGTCGCAGATTGCTGAAGAAATCCACGTTGCTGGGCATCGCTGGCATCGGTGGCATTGGTGGCAGGGCCTGCTGAGCCTGACCCAGCAATTGATTGACATCAAAGTTGTTGGGAGTCAGAAACGAGAAGGGATTCGGAGCTGCCACTGGGGCAGCTGGTTCATCGGCGGCTGGGGCTGCGGGCGGGGCAGGTTCTGCGGGGGGTGGCGGCACAACGGCGGGCGGCGGTGGAGGAGCTGCACCCAAGATGTTCTCGAATCCGAATTGCGGCATGGGTGGCAGCTGCATATTGGTAAGAGCCTGGCCCACATTGGGGGCGATCTGTCCGAGGTTAAAGCTATCCGGATTGAAGTTCGCTGGATTCATCCAGCCTTGGGCAAAGTTTGGGTTCGGCATTTGGGCCAGCAACTGGCCGAACGCGTTCGGCGCTGGTGGTGCATCCTGGCGGGTGACACGAGTCTTGGCTGTGGGATCGTCGGCCAGGACTAGGACCACCTTGGATGCCGCCGCCGTCGGCTGGAGGGAATCGGGCACGGCGCCTAGCATCGTTGGAGCCGGAAAGAGCGCTCCCCAGCGCAGGAGGCTGCCCAAGGCGGGGAAGAGCATGTAGAAAGCATCTATGGAGGGCACTCCGCTGCGGATTGGTGTGATGGGCGGCATCTGGCTGAGAATCTGGACGAGGGGGGTAAACAATCTTCACTTAGGATCAAACACTCCCGATTCGAATACTCACCGTTTCCTCAGTGGGAAAGCGTGGCCTCATGTCGGCGGCTGTTCCATTGCCAGAGATCTCCTGCTCGGCAGCATCTTTCGTTGTGTCCGTGGCTTGCGATGGCGTCTCCTGGCCAAGGACCTGGCCACAGAGCACCAGCGCCAGGAGTGGCACCAGAAGCAACAGGCACTGCAATCTCATCTCGGACAGGTATCGCTCTTGGATAGAAGATCGATCGATATACGCCGGAGCTCGTTCGCCGACTGACTACTGCAGCTGTCACGACACTGGCCCAAATAGATTTTTTGCCCCCATGGGGTGGGCCGGCAAACTGTTGACGTTGGCGAATTCGTGCCCCGCCGGTCGGTGGCCGCTTTGCTGCATTTTGCACGCACCCCGCGGACAGAACATCGTTTCCGTATGTGTGTGACCCCGATCCGTGGCACCTACTCTTCACAGCAGCTCTTCTGGCTGCAGCAGCAAAAAACCTTGCTGAAAGTTCCATGGAATCAGCGTAAATGATGCACGGTAAACAATACTTCGCTGTCCAGGGCCGGAGTGACGCGGAAGGTCTTACCTTAAATGCGAATTAGACATTCCTTAAAACATGGTCAACCACTCTATGATAACTTACATGTCGCCCAGATATATAGAGATACATATGCATATTTACTGCACCCTGGGCCCAAAGAAATCCGTCCCTGGCAAGCGGTGGGCAGCGGTGTGCCCTTCATGGCTTCATGGTGTTTCTTCTGATCCGAGAAATTCTTGCAGCGTTGCCGCCCATATCGATGTGTGTCACCATGGCGGAGATCAAATGGCTGAGCTCAGCTCGTTTCTGCTTTTCTGCTTGTCCAGACATGAGAAACAGAAAAAGATTGTTTTTTTTTTTTTTGGCAGCGGGTGCTGCTGTGGTTTTGGTCTGCCGTCAGCGAAAAAGCACACACACACACACATGCTCACACGAAACACTAAACCGCAGTACAGCGACCTTTAGAATCTGTCTGCTGATGCACATTTGTCATGCTCTGACAGATAATATTGTGAAATTACTCATGGGCGAAAACTATGAAAAAATCAAAGAAACACGCTGCATTCCGTTAGTTGGGCACGGTAGATGGGGTGGGGGAGTTGTGGTAGTAACGTCGTTACTTCAAGATGCAATTGATAAGCCGTCTATCGATCAATCGATCAATCGGTTCATCCTCAGACCAAACGTTTTCCAATACTGCCGCCATTAGAAATAGGAAGAGGCGTTTGCCATCACTGACCGAAGCTGCGCGGTAAAACGGACGCAAAATTTAAACAATGTATTTTATGTCCATTTAAATGCATTACAAATGCCCTAGATGTCGCTTACGTCCCGCAACAGTAGCGGGGAAGTGGACTCCGAAGATCGACCCGTCCTTAGGGACGACGGCCATGAACGAAGACCAACCCAAGTTGTGATAACATATACTTTGAGTAAATATTATATATTTAATGCTAATTTATAATGCATTTACAGATGCCACAGATATTGGGGACCCCAGCACGCAACATTACAATAACGACCCTCGTTAAACGGAGCATGCAACTGCAAAACAAAATGCCATCCAACAGTTGCAAAGGAGCCTCCGGGGAATCATGTTGCCGAGTGCCGTCCACAATATAAGCCTCGTCTACGCCCTTGTGTGGGCCATTGACCATCACTATGGAAAGTCGACTAGTACGGCCCTGTCCCTCGTCCAGTTTGCCACCAGCTATGCCAGCCGGGACTACCACAACGATCTGATTGACGCGACCCTGTGTCGAGCATCGACCGCGGCTAAAATTCAGTTTCTCCTCGAGGATGAGCGCATGGACATGACGGAGAACACAGATGAGTTGCCACCGCCCAGTGGGGTGATGGGACGACCGTGTGCCATTTGGTTTTTGGACAGCCTGCGTGCGTACATCCGACTCGAGCGGTATCTACTCCAGCAGGGCAGCACCTACAAGCGAAACGGCTTCTTCATAATTGTCTATACGGGCAGAGAGATGGAGCCCGTGGAGATAATCAAGATCATGTTCAGGCGCCTCCTCAACATCTATGTGCTCAATGTGAATGTGTTTTTTAGTAGGAGCGGCACTGTCCAGCTGTACACCTACTATCCCTACGGACCACACCGATGCCAGTCGTCGTTGCCCGTCTATTATGGCTCCTTTCAGGGCATGCCCTCCAGTGCGGAGTTTGGACTCGGGAAGCAGCTCTTTCCCAGAAAACTGACGAACTTGCATGGCTGTGAGCTGATCACAGCGACCTTTGAGCACCGGCCCTATGTGATAATCGATGACGACGCCGATTCTCCCAACGGGCGGCGTCTGCACGGCATCGAGGGAATGATCTTTAATTCGATTGCAGAGCGCATGAACTTCACAATCAAACTGATGGAGCGTCAGGACAAGGATCGGGGCCAGATTCTGCCCAATGGCAGCTTTACGGGCATTCTCAAAATGGTGATTTAACCTGCATTTCACTTAAGCTTAAATACATTTAATTTGCATCCCCTTGCAGATGTTGGAAGGCGACGCCAACATCACATTCGTGTGCTTCATGTACAGCAAGGAACGAGCCAATGTGATGCTCCCGAGCGTCTCCTATACGAACTTTCCAATTGTTCTGGTCATACCTGGTGGGGCGTCAATGTCGCCGCTGGAGCGGCTGATGAAGCCATTCCGTTACATCATCTGGTCCTGTCTGATCGTGAGTGTGCTGGTTGGCCTCACCCTGATTGCCGTCCTCCAGATGATGCCAGTGCCAGCGCTGCGCGATCTGGTCCTCGGTAGAAGCAATCGATTGCCCTGCCTGGGCCTGTGGTACACCCTCCTAGGCGGCTTGGCCCTGCGCACGCCGCGACGAAACTTTTCACGCTACCTCCTGGTCATGTGGCTGCTCCAGACACTGGTACTGCGGGCCGCCTATACGGGCCAGCTGTACCTCCTCCTGCAGGATGCTCAGGTGCGCACACCACTGCAGACGCTGGCCGAGGTGGTGGCCAAGGGATATGAGTTTTGCATGCTACCGGCCTTGAAGGGAGTCTTCCGCGACTCACTGCTCGGCACAAAAATCCGCCTGGTGACGAACCACCAGGCCTCGCTCCGTCGACTGCGCGACGAGGATGATCCAGGCATAGCGGTGCCGCTGCTGCTGCCGACGGTCTATGAGTTTGACTATCAATCAGGGCGGACCCAACGGCATCTAACCGTGCTGCCCGATGCCCTCATGACTGCTCCACTGACCTTCTACATGCGTCCGCATTCGTATCTGAAGAGTCGCATTGATCGCCTGCTAATGGCCATGATGTCGTCGGGGATTACCTACCACTATCGGCGCATGTATCTCGATCGCATCGAGCGATTGGCCAAGCAGCGCAACCTGGAGCCCCAGCCCCTGACCATTATGCGGTTGGGTGGCGTCTTTGTCTGTTTCTTGGCCCTCCAGCTGCTGGCTGGCATAGTCTTTGTCTTGGAGCGTCTAGCTCTGAGGCATCCGCGTTTCCGCAGAGTCCTGGATGTGGCCAATCGCTATATAGCCTGATCCACATTTGCCCGCCATAGTCCCCACCCCATAGACCCCGCACACGCACACACTTTTGCACCTTGGACAATTGTACGAGTATGTATTACAAAATTAAAATGAACCTTACCCTTTTAAAACCTCTCCATTATCAAGGCCAATCTTCGCCAGTGTGGCCTCCGGCTAAGCAGCTCCAAGGCAAACACACAGATGCCCACAGCCAAGGCACCGCACAGACAATTCAAGGCGGCCACAATGAAACCCATGGACTCGGCAAATCCCGCCCTCACATCCACGGCCGACGATTGATGCACCTTCCGAGAAGGACCCTTTCCATCCGTTGTGAGGGGCATGTTGGCCCAGGCAAGGCGCTGCGAGTGATGCTGGAACAAACCAAAGCTGCGCATGTTGAAAAGCAGATGATTGATTTTGCCCGAGAAGTACGAGTTGCGGGGAAAGTACATGCACAGCATGTTGTCCAGGATCTTCTCGGCGAGGATGATGAATCGGTGGCGATGCTCCTTGTGATGAGTGAGATGGGTGGCCAAAAACGCGGTACTGGTGAATGCCCCTGTGAGGGGAGGCTCCTTTAGAAGAGCATCGAACACGTCCACCGGCTGGCCGGGAGTGACCTTTACGAGCCCCTTGAACGCCGGCAGCTTGAGCGTCATGCGGTAGGTGGCATGATCCGTGATGAACACAAATCCGGCGGCCACCATCTGCTCAAAGGTGTGCGGCATGGGCTTGGCAGGTGAGTTGTGCAGAAAGTTAAAGACGGATCCCTCGTAGCTGACGCGCACAACGAAGCCCAAGAGGAGCCATCCGGCCACAGCCGGAGCGGGCATCCTCCCCCAGCGCCTCAGGCACCGATGCACAATGGCCAGACCGCCGAGCAGCAGCCAAGTGTATCGCTCGAAGGGGAACAGCATGATCTCGTAGTTGCTGTAGCTACTGCGCACCTTCAGCACAATCACGTAGGGCATCTGGGTGTACGGCCACGTGGATGTGAGGTAGATTTGCCGTTCCGGGGTGCAGGCGGCACAGCCCAGTGTGAGATTTGCCCGACGATCCTGGAGCATACGATAGGCCCCCGTCATGGTGCCATTCAAGTAGCTAGAGCCCCCAATCAGCCCGACCGGTTCATTGGGCATCAGCTGGATGGTGAAGTTCATCCTGGTCGCCATTATCCTAAGCAGCACACCATCCAAGCCATCGATCTGATCCTTCACCCGGCGCCGCTCCCAGCGAAGCTTCATGTAGGGCGCTATCGGCCACACAATCACGCTCAGCGGACAGCCATGTAGGTTGCCCAATCGAAAGGGGAACATCTCTCGCAGTCGCCACTCCTGTAGGCGCATCTCCACGGGATCGGTGCTGGCACAGCTGCCGGATGTGTACGGCAGAAAGCCATATGCCCTTAGGGTCGATCTCTCCATGTGGGCCAGCAGGAGCAGCACATTCAAGTTGTACAGACGATGCAGAAAGTGCCCAAAGATCAAGGACATGGTGCTCCGTTGTATGCTCGCCTCTGGCTGGGATGTGAGCCACACAATCAGATACATGCCCTTGATCTCCAGGGCGGAACAGGCCGCTCTGTCGATTGATAGTGCATGTTTAATTATTGCATGTTTTTGGTTTCTTGGAAAGATAGTCAGCCACTCACATTGCCTGCTCGGGACTCTGGACAAAGAGCAGCTGCAGCTGCACACGTACACTCATCTCGGAGCTCAGCTTCGACGCCAACACCACGGGCACCATCTCCTCTCTTCTCAGGCTGTAGTCGAGGACGAATCGCACCAGATTCGACTCCTTCTCGTCCAAATGCTCATAGTCGGTGCTGATGAAAACACTCATATTGTGCGCGACGCAAGTGTTCAATCGAATCCGATGCAGCGCCTCGGTAATCTTCCCGACCAACGGCTCTTGCAGCGACGGCTCTTCTACGGTCCACGAACTAGCCTGCTCCTGAAGAAACCCCAGGACTTGGAGCACAATCCCAGCACTGGACAGCTTCATGTCGATGGTAAAACTGAACGAATTTTTGCACCATCGAAGGGCTTTTGTATGCAATTTCGATTTCGCAATCGATTGAAGGTTGGTTCCCAGTAGACACTTTTCCAATCAATCACAAATATCTTTGAAAGTATAGTGCAGCTGTAAAAACGGCTCCAAATGATAGTGGGAGCATTGTTTGGAGGAGTGGGTTTGATCGATCCAAGGGGGACATTTTTGCGCGGCATTCCTCAGATTGTGTGGACCATAGCATAATAATGCTTTGGAGCTTTTGAGTCATAAACATACAAAAAGTAAGTACCTAATACTTTACAGATATTTTCAGTAAAAATCAAATCAATGGGTGTGCAAACTCCCACCACAGATGGTGAAGCATGCTGCAAGGTTATCTGTGTCATCTTTCGGTGTATATAGGACATCCCGAGTGACGGTGACGTTCAAGGAACTGCCACAACATCAGCATCTCAGTATGTCTTCGGTGTCTGAGAATAAGGGCATCTGGACATGAGATCAACTATGTTGAATGTGAACAGAATGCCATTCAAGCAACATCAATGGACGCTATGGATTGAGATCGAGTGGCAGGAAATTATATTATTTCGTTCTCTCGCTGGTAGAAGCTCCCAGTTCCGGTAACGATGACGAGTGTATCTCCAAAGATTTATGTTTTAGCTTCTAGATGCAGCTGATATTGTTCGTTCATTTATTTGAATAAAATATAACTTTTTCGGGGACAAATGTTTCTGGGTCTTAGTTTACATTCGCGGCTACCACGTTCACACGTGACTTGGTCGAATGGTCTCTGTTGCCGTTCGCTTATGGGAAATTTTGACAGCGAATTCAGGGGTTTTTATCACATACTATCGGTTGCCCTATACAGGCGAAGCGCACTGTATACCATAAGGAAAACGCAAACTCCCAAGCGATTCCAAGCGATTGAAATGAATTGTACGAATAGGAAACCCGCGACTGTTAGCTGTAATGCATTAACAAATCAGCGTTCATCACTTAAACTAATTGCTGCGTACACGGTAGGGCGTGGTGGTGCCTCCCAAGGCACCCCACCCCACCCCATCCCACCTCACCATCACGGCTGTGGGTGGCGGTATCGGGGCATGTGCGTGACAGGTTTCGGTGTCAGTATTATGCATGAGGCGCATAACCATAAATTAACACCATCAACGGAGCACACACATAGACACAGACAGGTTGTGCCGTGCCTCAGACAGGGGTCGGGCGTGGGTTTTGTGTGGTGGTGCCACCGCCTCCACTGCCAGCCCCGTTAGTGTCAGCGACATGCAAACGGCATGTGTCGGCCCGTAAGAGGTTTACAAATCGCCGGACACCGCAGTGGGGAGTGGGAAGTGGGGCTACAAGAACAGCCGTTGCAGGGAAACCAATCGCTGGGAGAGAAGCTCTAGGAGGAAGATGAGCAGACTCAGGACATGACCCACCACTACCAGCAGAAACATGGCGTAGAGCTCCACGAGACCGAGCTCCTTGAATCCCTGCTCGTTGCGAAGGTAGCTCCCGACGAGCTCCCAGCGTGCCCAAACGGAGACCAGGCCCACGGATCGCATCCACATGATCTCCTCGTTCAGGTGATCGATGAGAAAGGAGTGCTTGCTGAGGTACATCGTCATCTGCAGGCTCACAATGTCCTCGGCAATGATCTCGAAGTGATCGGCCTCCACGGGCTGCCCCAGCCTCTGGCCCATCCTCTGGGCCCGCTCCGCCCTCAGATGATTGAAGTGGATGTACATTTCCAGGGCCGAGGCAGAGACAAGGCGTGACTCCTGCGGATTGGCCGCCAAGTACTCGAGGGGCACCGTTTCCTCGACGTCTGTGAGAATGCGGAAGGTCATGTGCTGCACGCTGGGTATCTCGGAGAGCACGTCGTGCACCAAAGGCGTTAAGACCACAGTGTAGTTCTGCTGCACCAGGGCATCGATGGACTGTGGCCACCTGTTCAGCTGGTGGGTGCGGATCAAATGATAGAGCAGGCCCTGGTACACCGTCCGAATGATCAGTGTGTACAGCATCAGCATGAGGCAGTAGAGGCGTCCGCTGTGCGAGTGTGGCGCCCTCAGCAGCGGCATACCCACAAAGATCAGCTCCAGATTCAGCCAGAGCCTGGACTCGGGCCGCGTCTCGCGCAGCAGCCGCTCGATGGCCAGCTGCAGGAGCGCCGACAGGGCCAGGACCCCGACAATGGCTAGCCAGATCTGCAGGCGGTATGGATAGAAAAGGATGTCGAGCGAACTCAACTCAAAGCTGGAGTCCAGGATGCCGAACACCTCGCGGCTCTGGTGGTAGTTGTGCGTAGAGGTGGCCAACAGGCTGCGGTCCACCGTCTGCCGGATACCGCCCAGCGTCAGATCAGCCTCGTGACGCCGCAGCTGGAAAATCAATCTATTCAAAATCGATTAACTGATCAACGCAAGACTCACCAACTCCAGGGCCTCATCGCGGACACTTTTCGCCTTAAGCTGACGCACGGCTATGGAGAAATTCATCCGCTCGGCGAGGGCCAGAAGCAGGCGACCCTCGTAGCCACCGCTGACGCTGGCACCGGTGCTCTCCGACTCGTGTACCTCAACGAAAGGTGGCACATTCCAGAGGGCACAGCGCAGGCGGCAGCCAAACAGATTTCGTAGCTTCCGCGGAAAGATCTCCGGCTCGAGGAGAGCGCTGCCATTGTAACGATTAATGAGCCGCGGCGACATATCCGAGCAGCTGCGCTCACTGAACGGATAGTAGCTGTATATGAGCACATCCCCATTGGACTTCTGCACCTGGACGCTGCAGTGAATGAGGTGGTAGCGCCAGCAGTACTCAAAGATCTGGCGCATCTCCTCCTGCAGCAGATGGTCCCGCGCCTGCAGGAAGATGAAGTAGTGCTCATTGTAGTTGTACTCGCGGGCATAGTACTCCACCCGGATTTCCGAGAAGGCCGCAAACGAGTCCGTGAATATCACATTGAAGTGCCTGCGCCCCGCAACAGGACGCCAGGGCACACCCTGCTCCACCTTGACAATCTGCAGCGGTGCCAGGCCCCAGTTGCGGAAGAGGGTGCTCATCATTTCGTTGTAAAAGTTGCAGGTGTGCTCGCTCCGGCAGCACAGGATCAGCACCAGGGAGGGCGTCACACTGAGTATATGATGGTGGACAACGTACAGCAGGGCTCGGGCCACAAATTCGTTGATTTGGTTCTCCTGCTCGCCGGACAGATCGCAGTACGAGCTGAGCAGCCCGGTTATGTTCATTCTCCGGTTGCTTCAAGAATGAACAGACCCTCGAACATGGCGTTCGATGGCAAGGGCAGCCAAGGAAATCCCAGGAAGTTTTTGTGTGACTTTCCGTTTAATTGCAGGAAAAGAAAAACTTCTTCCCCATGATTAATGGTTACAGAACGCAGAGGAGTATTGGGAGGGGTGCTTGAGGCAATCGATTGGGCTCTTAACTAAGTTCTTCGGCCAGTCCGACGGTCTCGCCAGCGTTGGAGCAGCAGTTCCCCGGCAAAAACGAAGCCACAAATGGAATACAACAACGTCATCAGCTTGTAGACGCCGGACAATTGGGAATTACTGATGTACCGGCGTCGATCTTGTTCCTGTGGCAGCTTCTCCTTCCTGCGGTGAGCCACGAAGGAGGCGCGTCGCCAGGCGTGTATGAATCCGGTGTCGTCCAGCCGCCGAATGGCGTGGTCCACCTTCTCGTACAGATACGAGTGCTTGGGCATGTAGAGGCCGGCATATTCCACATTCACCGGCTGCCCCACCACATGGTAGCTATCCGGACGGCTGCTGGACCGCAGATACGCCAGAGTCACGTCCATCCCTGCTATGGCAAAGACCTTGTGGCCGCCAGTCTTCTGCAGTGAATCCAGCACCTCCTGGTCGTAGGGCGTGGCCAGGCCCGAGAAGCTCTCCGTCCGGCCGGCCACCAGCGGCATCTCGTGCAGCATTCGCAGCGTATTGCCGGTGCACACGCCCCGAAAGTTCTCCGCCAGCAGTTGCTCCAGGGAGACCGGCAGCGCCGCACACAGCTGCATCCGGATCAGGTGGAAGAGCAGCGACTGGTAGCAGATCCTCAATGGCATCACGGCGTACAGCCAGTGGGCAAAGACCAGCCTGTGCAGCCAGGAGCGTGGCAGGCGGGCCAGCGACTGGCCCAACAACAGCTCCAGCACCGGGAGTCCAGCTCTCCGAATGGCTATCTGCAGAGCCAGGGACCCGAGCAAGATTAGCCACACCGTCCACTCGAAGGGAATGGTGAGCAGTGCCAGCGAACCAATGAGATAGCTATCGCGCTGCAACACAGCCACCAGGGGCGATGAGTAGTAGGACATGCCGGTGGTCAGCAGCTGGTTCCGGCGTGCCGTCTTCCGAAAGTACCCCAGACTAAGATTGGCCCGCCTCTCGAGGAGCTACACCAGAAGGAGGAGGAGTTCAAGTGACTGGAAAGGGGGGTATCCCAGCGGTTTACTTACAAACTCCATGGGTCCTTCGCTGCTCCCATTGGCCAGGCGATAGAACTGCGGCTGGATGAGTGTCAGGTTGATCAGATCCACTGTAAAGTTGAGCAGGCGGGCCAGATGCTCAACCAGCTGGATCTCAAAGCCGCTGGCTCGCAGGCTGTTGCTGTGCTCGTCCCATTTAAGCTCCACGAAGGGCGGCTGGTGCCAGGTGAGCACGGAGATGGGACAGCCGTGAAGCTGGTGCAGCTTCTCGGGGAACATGGTCGGGTTGACCATGCGCTGGCCATCAAAGTGATTCACCTGCACCGGATACGCCGCCTGGCAGTGGTCCGACGTGTACGGGTAGTAGCTGTAAACCAGGACATCCACGTCGGCTGTCTGGATCATCACGTTGCAGTGCAGCCAGTAATGCGCCAGGCAATGGTCCAGGATTAGCCCCAGTTCCATGGGTATGAGATGATCGCGTGTCTGCAGGAAGATGAAGTAATACTCCTGATCATCAAAGTCCGCATTGTCCTCGGTAATGTTTGAGTTACTGCAAAGAAACGCGAATGGATTGGTCAATCGCAAGTCCATCCCCCAATGGCCCCAGAACACTCACACCAGCCCCTCGTAGGAGTCCACCAACATCAGATTGAATCGCTTCCTTCCGGGCACACGCACTCGCTCAAAGTGCGTACTGAATCGCAGCAGCTGCACTGCTGCCACACGCCACGAATAAACGAGTGTGTTCATCACATACTCGAACCAGCGGGCAGTACCCTCATGACGCGTCGAAATCGTCACCACCAGCGTGGCACTCAGCTGGGCCAGCACATTCTCGATGACATACCGCAGGGCCCGGGCCACATACAAATTGGCCTCCTCCACCTGTAGGTCGATGCGCGAACGCTCCACGTAGCTGCTGTAGATCACGCTGCTGGTGTTCATGTTGCGCCGCCAATCGCCCTTCTAGTTCTGACGCGGCGCTCTGCCTCGGCATGGGCTTGGGGCCCTGCCATAGCCGGCCTTTACATCTTGTCTTAGATCCCAATCTGCGAAGCTAATTAAAAGCAAATATGTGTTTTATTCGTGGCTTCGTGGTATACCACCACAATATTGTCGGCAGGAAGATGGAAAACAACCAAATAATTATTCCTCTCAGTTCGCTTTGTGGACACTCTTTATATTTTTAGCACTTTTTGTGAGCTTGCGAGCACTCGTTGGTTTTCTGCTAATGCTAACCCTTAAATAGTGGCAGAAAAATTGTTTGGTTTTTTAACTTTTTTTATATTTAATCACTGCTAGACTTTATTGAACATCCACTCGACAATTTTCCCGCTTGATTTTCAACATTTTCCGCTTGGAAACCGCATGTTTTTATTGCTGGAACGCGAGAAGTGGAAGCTGAGAGAGAGAGAGAGAGAGAGCATTACAAATGCAATGCGTCGGTGGCTTATGTGTGTGTGCTCGCTCATTCCATGCTATCTCCTTCTAGAACAGGATGAAAAGATACATGGTTGTCCGCTCCCGCAACGCGCTCTCTTTCGTGTCTTGTTTTACGTTCAGCGGTACTGAGAGCGCTTTGACGCCATATTTCATGACTAGACTTCCTCCTAATTTCTAGCACAATCCATTCTCTCCGCTTGCCTATTTTTCTAATTGCTCTCTCATTGGAAATTGTCGTCTCCCTCTCCCACCCCTTTAGTAAACGGATGGCATGGGAACATTACATAGATTGTTTAATCATTCCAAGCTCTCCTTCTGCTCCTTATCCTCCGAGAAGCTGAGCGATACCGCTAAAATATTAAAATCTGAATGTAATTTTTCAGTGTAGACATCGATTTCGCATGCAATTTATTGGACGATTTACATATTTATTATAAGAGCAAATATAATCCACTACTTATTCATAAACCTCGATGATTTTAACATTCTCGATGATGGAGGCTTTCCGGATGCCGCTCTGCACAGTGCCGATGATCCAGGCCGGGCTGTCACCATATGCCCCGATGAACTTGCAAAGAGCAACGGCCTCCTCACGGGGCATGCAGATGAGCAGGCCACCGGAAGTCTCAACAGAAAGACCCTGCAGCAGGGGGCACTTATCGTCAACGGTCGATGCTTTGGCAGCAGCTGCCATCTTGCTGATCACCGGCAAAGTATCAATGACAAACGACACTGGCTTCTTTTGGAGCAAAGCCAGTTTGTTGGCATGATGCAGGATACCGAACCCGGACACAGCCATGGCCCCATGGGCATTGTGCACGTGCATGAGGTTCGAGGCCTGGCGATTGAGGCGACACATCGTATTGACGGCCTGCTGATAGGCCGCACGGACATCCTCTTCGGAGACGAACATCTTGTAGCGCTCCCAGCGTTCCGGCTGACCTATACACTCATAGGCATCGATGGCTACCTGGGTGCCCAGGGGTTTGGTCAGCACCAGGACATCACCATCCAGAGCATTGCCGCGTGCCACCAGATGGTGCTGCGGCCAGTAGGCTGAGGCCAAGCCGCCGCCCATGAAACAGCTAGTGTGCATGTACATGGCCCACATCTCCTTTCCGTGGGTGCCCTTGAAGCATTCCTTGAAGCCTGTCTCCATCATCGAGAATACAGCATTGAACTCCTTGTTGGTCATCTGAGGGGGCTTGCAAGCCATCATCATCATTTTATCACAAGCTGTAATGCCAATGGCGTAGAAATTGCCGAGCGCCTCGGCGCAGATGATCTTCCCCATGGCGCAAGGATCGTCGATGATCGGGTACCGGCACTCGATGCGCAAGTGGTGGCGCTGTCCTCCACCACCAGCACTGGTGTTGATGTTCATTTGGCGCAGCATCTGCTGCAGCTGCGTTTCCTGACGTTGGGAGCCTATTGGGAGGCTATTAAACATCTCCGATACCACGCTTTCGGGTACCTGGCAGCCGGAGCCCTTCAGCTCGAGGTAGCTGGTCAGACGGAAGGAGTCATCTAAGCCGTTAGGAACGGGTTCAGAGGCGCTCATTGTAAAATATGCAATATGCTAACTCCAAAGTATTTTATTTGTTCACAGTCAGAAAGCGTTTGACAGCGGCTTTCAAGTGGCAGGGTTGCCTAGACTACTTTTGATGCCTGCACTTCTTAAAATGGCGTCACGAATGGACCTTATCGATAGCTATTATAATTAATATATGTATACATATATGTGTATAAATTTATTATTCCTTCGTTAACCATCTTCGGATTTAGTTTTTTTAATGCTAGTTGGATAATTATTTTCATAAAAATGGATTGATGCATTTTCTGCACCTAATTTACCATTACTCGCTCTTTTCTGGCAACACGATCTCGATCTGGCATCCCACTCGTTGCAGAAACCACGCCGCCACGCACAACTCGTCGAAAATCAACGCAAATTTTGTACTTTATAAAATAAAGAAAAAGGCCATATGGACTGCATCCAGAGTCATTTGATAACTATAAAGAGCATAGACTCGTAAATTTCTTGGATTCCGCCACGGAAACCTGACGGGACTTGGCGGGCTGGTGTACAGTGATTTGCTGTCTGAACTACGACAAGGAGGCAAGGAGGGCCGTTACCAAATCCCAAATCGGGAGTCGGGATCTCCATAAACCTGGCTACTCCGCTGTACTTTGAACCTGGTCGATGGTTCGTCTAATCGAATGTCACAATGCCCACGGGTCCACCAATATAGGCTTCCTCGGTCTCCTGACTGATGCCCATGCCCTGGTCGCTGTCCAAAAGCACTCAGTGTCGTTTGTCACCGATACTCTTCCGGTGATCGGCACGATGGTTGCCCGTTGTCATTTATAAATGTACATATGTATATTTTATTGAATAAAGCTTACATCTCATAAGGGAATAGATTTAGAAGAAATGCTAACGTTTGGAGGTACTGAAGAAGGAAGATATTCCTGTTTTCATTCAGTAAAAGATGTAGCAATAGCACTAAGTGCCTCTAAACTTAGGTACAGGCATATTTAAAGAACATACTAGTACACAAAATAAGTCTCACGGATATTCAGGGATCAAATAACTTAAAAACTATTTGAAAAATAGTTTAATCTGTAGAACTGTGTATGCAACAAACCAAGCTTTATTGCGTATTAATAATAAGGAATACACCAAATAAGAGATAATAAGGAAGGAATAAGGAATAAATTGTTTACCTTTTATTCCACCTGAAAGATGCAGTATGTGACTGAGAGCTTGTTACCAAAAGAGCTGCGTTTTCCGAAAGCTCAAACCATTTTATATGTACACATATACCATACAACAGGTACATACATATATGCTTATAAAGTAGAAACTATGGAATGTCTACGCTGTCTCTAATACCTTCAGAAAGTGTAACCGAAACACCCACCACCTTATCGATGGAGTCTTTGACAAGTATTGTATATTTTTAGGCAATTGTTTGAGCCAGTTCGATGTGCACTGCGTGCATGACCTCACAATAGAGTTTTGTTTGACTTTGTTCTAACGACCCATCGCCGCACACCATTGTCCATCGTTGACGACTAATGAGAGGCAAACATCAGAAAGTGGCCAAAGCAGAGACCACTCCGCCGGGTAACCGCTGGAGCAGCTGGCCTGCGATGCCGTCCATATTAGTAAGCAGCCAGCCCGGCGGAGCGACATGAACATAACCAGCCTGCTCCACTTTGAGTCGATGAAGTACAGCGGTGCCCAGACGCAGGCGGCGGCCATCAATCAGTTTGTGGCAAGCGCATTGCGCGTGTTCATCGAGGACTTTTACCAGCGCCTAGCGCCCGCCTTCATTGTTATCCTGTCGTGCCGCCGGCCTAGTCCACTCAATTTCTATCGGAACATCATGCAGCTGCTGTACGAGAGCGTGGACACAATGATCATCCAGCTGGTGCATCACAATCACAACCAGAGCCGGCAACGCATCGAGGGTCCACGTACGCACAATCTGCTGCTGGTGGACTCGCTGGACGCACTGCTGTAACGGTAACGGTACCAGAACGGTAATCCTCCTCTAATTCCTTCCGTCCTTCTTCCAGCGACATTGAGATCCACACGTACACCGCACAGTCCGATGCCAGCGAGTATTATTTCATATTCCTACAACAGCGGGATGCCCTGATTCCGCAGGACATGCTGGGTGTGTTCGCCTACTGCTGGCGCAATCAGCTCATCAACTGCAACGTGATGACCCAAAGCTCTGGCGGGCAGGTAGTCCTGCACACGTACTTTCCCTATGCGCCCCACCGCCAGTGCGGCGACACAATGCCAACGCAGATCAATCAATTTTCGGAGGGAGAGTGGCAGCATCGCGACTACTTCCCATCGAAGCTGCGGAACCTTCAGCAGTGTCCGCTGGTGGTGCTGGCCCGCCGTGTCCAACCCTTCTTCGATGTGGACGGACGGCAGCAACTGAGGGGTCTGGAGGGTCGCCTGCTCCTGGAGCTAGCCAAGCGGATGAACTTCAGCATACGCTTCAGGGGACTGCAGGAGCAGCAGGAGAGTCACATCACCTGGACAGAGCAGCAGCTGTTGGAGCAGTTGGTGAGTGGCCAGAAGAAGGCACTGCCTCTTCCTCCTGCTTCCATTTCAGTGTTTTCTTGTACTCCACAGATGCAGGACCGCATCGCACATTTGGCCATCGGCTATGTGCGGAAGCGGATACAATATGCCGCCAATCTGACGGCCGTGTTTCCGCACTACTCCAACAAGCTGGTCAGCTGCCTCCTGCTGAATTCCCACAATCTGACCAGCTTGGAGATCTGGTTCTTTCCCTTCCAAACCATTGCCTGGCTCTTTTTGCTGGGCAGCCTCCTCGGCTTCTTTGGTATCCTTCTGCTGCTGTGCTGGCGGGCCGGAGATCGAGTTTCCCTCTTCTTGGCAGTCTACGCTGCTGCCCTGGGCGTGCCTGTGGCCCCGCTGAAGCAAGCCTCGCTGCAGTTGCTCTTCGGCAGCTGGCTGTGTTTCACGCTGATCGTGCGGGCCATGTACTCGGCCCTGCTCTTTCTGATCGTGCGCTACCATGTGCACCAGACGCTGCCGCGCAGCCTCATGGAGCTGGTGGAACGCGGATATACGGCTGTGATGAGTCGCATCACAATGCAGGACCTCCGCGTGGTGTCTAGCCTACAGCAGTTTATCAGCCAGCGCTCTGTGATCGTCGCATCTGAGCTGGACGATGAGATACTGCGTCGGCTGGACCAGTGCTCGGAGCAGACTTTGGCGGGCACACATCCGCATTTCTTCGGACTCCTGGCGCAGGACGCATTGCTGCATCTCACCCAGAGCGGCCACAGGGCGGGAGCCTACTACATTGTGCCGCAGTACGTGCTGGAGCAGCAGCTGGCCATCTATCTGCCAAAGCACTCGCACCTGGTGGTGCAGTTTGACCACCTGGTCATGTCCATTCGCGCCGTCGGCCTTATGCACTACTGGGCCGGGCAATTGGGCAGCGAGAAGTACTTTCGCAGCACGTTCTTGTACCGAGAAAGGAGCATCAGGCAGCCGGATCTCTGGGGAATTTACGTAATTGCCGCGGCACTTTACTTTTGCTCACTGATCGTGTTCCTTTGGGAGCTCATATCGGTCAGATGGGATCACATTGCAAGCTGAAAGGGAGGTGCAAATGTCTTCAAAACATTGTTTTTTTTTAGAAGCGAAAAAGTACATTAACCTGCAAATAAATGTCCGTTATGCTATATAGCGATGGGAAAAATTATTAGATTGCGTGCTAGAGCTGGTGGTTTTCGTGAATCGATAGATATGATTGAAATCAGTTGGCAGCGCTCCTTAAGACATGCCAATCAAATTTAAATTACTTTGCTTTTTCAGCATTATTTTTTTCATTATATTGAAATGTAGTATATTGGAATACCCAATAAATATTGTTAGGGATATTTTCAGCTCTTTGGGATGCCTTATGTAATGCCATAAAGTAATTTTCTTTTCATAATTTTATTATGCAAATCACAAAATTCCATTTGATGCTCAAGAAAGGGACAGACACAGCTACACATAGAGAGGGAGAGGGAAAGCATATTGTATAATAACATTTAACAGATAAATTTCAATTGGTTAAAAAATAAATGCATTTCTGGTTGCTGGGGTCACAGGATGCAGCAAAAGTGAGCTCCTGCTTAGAGCTTCTCCAGCAGAATGGAGGAGGCACCACCACCGCCATTGCAGATGGACGCACATCCCAGCTGTCCGGGTTTAAGGCTGTGCGCGAGATGGGTGACCAGACGGGCTCCAGACATGCCTATGGGATGGCCAAGGGAGACGGCACCGCCGTGCACATTCACCTTGCTGGGATCCAAATCCATTTTCTTTATATTGGCAAGCGCGACCAGGGAGAAGGCCTCATTAATCTCCCACATTGCCACGTCCTCCTTGCGCACGCCAGCGCGCTCCAGCAGCTTGGGCACTGCAAAGGCCGGGGCGATGGGGAAGTCAATGGGATCGGTCTCCGCATCCTGGAAGGCTACAATCCGGGCCAGAGGCTTGAGGCCGGCACGCTGCACGGCATCGGCGGACATCAGAACGACAGCGGCACCACCATCGTTCAAGGTGGAGGCGTTGCCGGCGGTCACAGTGCCGTTTTCGCGTTGGAAGACCGTCGCCAGCTGCCCGAACTTGTCGAAATTGATCCGCTTAAACTCCTCGTCCTCGGAGATGATCACCTCGGGCTTGCGCTTCTGCTGGATCTTGACAGGGGCGATCTCGTCGGCAAAGGCATTGGCCTGCCAGGCAAGGGCCGAACGCTTGTACGACTGAATGGCGTAAGCATCCTGGTCCGCGCGGGAGATGGTCATCTTCTTGGCCGTGTTCTCCGCACAGTTGCCCATGTGGAACTTGTTGTACACATCCCAGAGGCCGTCGAACACAATGCCGTCGATGAGGTTGACGCCGCCGTAGGGTGTGGCGCCGCGCTTCAAATAGAAGGGGACATTGGACATGGACTCCATGCCGCCGGCGATGACCACATCGGCGTAACCGAGCATCAACGACTGGGCGCCCAGCATGACCGACTTCATGCCCGAGGAGCACACTTTATTCACGGTGGTGCAACACACGTTGGTCGGCAGGCCGGCGAAAATTGCAGCCTGGCGGGCGGGAGCCTGTCCCAGTCCTGCGGACACCACATTTCCCATTATCACTTCGTTGACGTCGGTCTTTGCGATCCCGGCCCGCTCAATGGCCGCCTCGATGGCGGTGGCACCCAGTTGGGTGGCGCTGAGTGGCGCCAGTTGGCTCTGGAAGCTGCCGATCGGTGTGCGGGCGGCGGCCACAACCAGCACATCTTGGAGCTTGGAGCTGTACGCGCGACGCGTCTGGACGCAGAGGCTGCGCGTGGCCTGCAACAGATTGGCGGACATCACGTTGTTGGATGCGGGGCAGCAATTTAATAATTGAATCGACTGATCACACGATGTGGAATATAATCAGAATCAGATCGCAAACCTGTTGCTCGCTTGCGTAACAGATGCTGGCCTATCGATCGACCCCTTAACCACCTATCGATTGCGAACAGCTGTTCCTCGTTGGCCATTTAGCAGCACTTCAATCGGTTTAATTGAATTTAACGGCACTTGGTGATCAAGCTGCGAATTTCTTGTATGTAAATATTTTCTTTTTATTCAATACAAGATATTGTACTGCTAAAGATGATTACTTCTAATAAAAATTGCACAGATAATGCCATGGTCTTACAACTAATAATACACTTTATAGGATTGAAAGACCTTCATGAAAAAATACACAAAAAATAGGAAAAAAAAAATGGTAGGTTGTATGCTTGCATAACGGAACTTATTCCACATCACAAGGCGCGAATCGCTCCGAACCGCTCCTGGCACTCGCCTCAATCCTGTCCGCCTCTGGCTCGCCCTCAAATCAGCATTTGCTCGCGGGACGACAGCTTCTGGGGACCACCGCCGGCCACCACCAGGGAGCGACGCATGCGGTTCCTCTGCATCGTCGAGTTCCGTTCCCGCACCGACTGACGCAGGTGCTGCCGCCTCCCTCCGGCTCCGGCAACACTGCTGGCGCCTGCCGCATCCTTTTCGGCAGCATTCATGGCCGCCAGCAGCTCAAAGGCTTGCTTCTTCTGCTCCTTGGTCCAGAGGTTGGCCAGCGGTGCGGATGGTGCTGGTGCCGGTCCTGGTCCTGCTGGCTGTTGGGCAGCCGGTGGTTTCAAAGCCAATGGTGGCCGGAATCGATTGTTGGCCGGCGGCTGCGCCTGCAGCTGGGCTGGTGGCGCCACAGCCACAGGCTTGGGGACCGATTTCGAGCCTCGACTGAGCCCAAACAAAGCCAGGATGGACTTGCGGCGAGTGGAGGAGGCCTGGCTGTCGCCCGAATCATTACTGGAGACGCTCATCTGCATGGGCTGAACAGTGGTCGGTGGAACAGGGACAGGCACAGCGCTGCTTGGAGGAGGTACATTCTCAATGCCGTACGTGACGAACTTCTGTGGCGACTGGAACGTGACCTTGCGCAGAGTGTTGGCGTGACTCTGCAGGGACTTGGGCGCCGGCAGGGCGGCCAGGTTGAGCTTCGCCACCGTCGGAGAGGTCTCGTTCAGCTCGATGGTGCAGTAAGTGTCATCATGATGCACTTTCGTGTGGGGCCTGCGCGGTGGAATGGGAGGAGCTGCCATCGCTGTGTCCGTCTGGCTGCACTTGCAGCACGTGGCTGTTGGCGGCTGCTGATCCAGCTTCTCGAGAAGCTCCCGTTGCAGGGCCTGCACACGCTTCTCGGCCAGCTGCAGCTGGTTCTCGCGTGCCTGCAGCTCGAGGAGTTTTTGCTGCATCAGTGACTCCTGGGCACGGATGGCATGTAGACGCGTCTGCAGCACATCATCGAAGATGTTTTGCGTGAGGAGACGAGGACTCTGACCTTGGCCCTCCTCCAAGCGCTTCTGCGGTTGATCCGCCACTTGCTCTTCGCGTCTGATGCTCTCGTAGAGCGCTGGATCCGATTGCTGGACCTTGTTGGTGGGAAAGATGCGACGCTTTGCCGAGTAGAAGAGCTCGCTGCGCAGATCCGGTGTGAAGACCCCAGTGACGCTCAGCCGTCGCTGTCCGTAGTCCTCGTTGAAGCTGTACTGCTCCGTAAACATGGTGCTGGACAGCTCGGGCAGATCCTCGAAGAGCTGCCCCATGCCAGGCATATTGAAGTCCTCGCCAGCCTCCACCAAAGTAGGGAACTCCCCATCCAATTCCGAGATGTTGCGCACGACAAGCGGATGCCGGATGATTACCTCGATGCCGGGACGCTGCTCATGATCCACGGCCAGCATAAAGGCAATTATCTCCTGCAGATCGGAGCTGTAGACGCCGGGAATTCGGCTGAACTCGCCCTGAGCAATCTTCTCCGACAATTGATCGAAGGCGCGGCCCCGGAAGGGTGGCCGCAGGGCGCACATCTCGTAGACCAAGCAGCCCACGGCCCAGACATCGCTCTTGCGGTCGTACTGTCGTCCCTTGACCAGCTCCGGGCTCATGTAGTGCGGCGTGCCCACAAAGGAAGCGGCAAAGCTCTGGTCCCGCCGCAGCATACGCGCCAGACCGAAATCGCCGAGCTTGGCATTGCCGGCCGCATCCAAGAATATGTTCGCCGGCTTGATGTCCCTATGCAGGATGGTGCCGTTGGGTATCTTGTTGTGGCACACCTGCAGGGCGCGGCACAGCTGGAAGAGGACGCGCCAGATGTAGCGCTCCTCAAAGCGCTGTCGCTGCGCTCGGGCCCGCTGTATGAGCTGGGAGAGGTCGCCGCCCGCACAGCACTCCATCACAATATAGATGGACTTGGCCTCACGGTTCACCAGATGGTGGTAGTACTGCACGATGTTCGGATGCTGCAGCTGGCGCAGCATACTGATCTCCGAGACGAGCGAATCGCACTTGTCGTCGTCCAGCTCGTCGTAGTTCATGCCCTTCCAGGCGAACAGCTCGCCGGTGCTCTTGTCCCGCACCTTGTAGCAGGTGCCGAACGAGCCGTTGCCCATCACGGCCAGCACCTCGTAGTCCTGCAGGGTCTTGTGGGCAAAGTCCGATGGATCCTCACCAGATCTGGTGGCCACATTCTGCGGCTTGTCGCTCATTCTGTGTGTGGGTCCGAGCGAGCGAAGGGGGACGACGCGTGATTCCGTTATTTTTGTGGGTCTGCTCCTCCTCACTATTTCTCGCCCTGTATCTGTACTTTCGCGTCGAAGTCCGAACACGAACTGAACTCCAGCCTGGCCTCTTCTCTGCCTCTCCATACGGGTTTCGGGCGAAGCGAAGGCTGCTGCGCCGACGCACCCACACAAACAAGCTACCTGCGAAAAAGCAAACAACAAAATACAGAAAAGACCGATGGCACTGCTCGCTTAGCTATTTTCCCGCTAAATCTAGCCCTTATATAGAAGATATGTATATAGAAGAAATATAGTTATAAGCCGAGTGATGCTGGCTTAGCGACTATGGTAACCACAAGAATGGGAATAAATATGTATTTTCTTTATACATTCATTCTTATAATATTGTAGTATTATTTAAAACAAACATATTATCCACAGACAAAAATAATGTACTCCCAGACCCAGATTTTCTGAAGAAAGCTAAATAAAGTAACAAAAAATACATATTAAGAATCGGATTTTCATCTGAATGTATCTATATGCAAAGATTATGAATATGTATGCATTACTGCACAAGTGGTGGACATTTTCCCGCCATCACATGCTGCCAACACTGATGCCGTGATATTCCTGCATTTCTCGTTTGTTTCCAAGAATGGTAATCTGTTGCTGTCGCACTCTCGCACACAAACGAGAATATGCACTTTGCAAATCGCCTTTCCTGTCGTACTCGTACACTCTCCCCCCGCTGTGCGAGCAACGTGCACTTGTGAGGCGAATTTTCGGGACCTCAGGAGAGCCTGTGTACAAAATAGAACCGTTGGACACAATCAAAATCTTCCATGACGCAGCACGCCCTGGCAATTCCAGCTATTGTTGCCTCTTGAGCCCAAACCCGAGCCTTTTCCCCCCACCCTCGACGAGCCTGACCATAAAAATAAATTAGTTTTGTTGCATTGGCATTTCAATTTGGTTTCTCAATTGTCGTCTGGCTATACTATGCGCTGCGGTGCGCCTCTCAAGCGGAGATTGGATTATGTTACCACTCAGATTTCATAAACATATTTCCAATGCATTTTCATTGAGTGGACAGTATAGAGTATGACGAGCCGAGCTGTTAGCAATCTAACGGGACCGATTCCAAGCAAGAATTTTGCGCAGTTCTAAATAAAAACAGACGCACGCATACACACAGAAGCATCCATCGCGGGTCGATGGTGTTGTCTCGCTTCCACTTTAGTAAATAAACATACAATAGGAGGATCCTCAGAGCCAGGTAAATTCGAGGGAAAAACGAGTTATGTTATCTTCTGCCTGGTCCAGAGAGGGCCCTGGCTTATCGTTAGGCCCCTGTGTTGATGTTTTTATGGTTTTCATGTGTAAAACAAACAATGGGTGCAAACGAGACTCAGACGCAATCCTTCATAAATAAATCAAGTCGCAGAAAGGTCTACACTCGGGTCCCGTATTCTCGGGCTCGCCCCCGTCACCGCAGCCAGATTTGTACAGGTCGGGCAGATACACAGCATTGTGGGTTATACAGATTACAGATCGCACTCACCAGGGCAACTTTCACATAGCCATTTTACGGTTTATTAGTTAAGAGTGAAAAAACATGTTATTTTATGCTAAGTAAAGTGCTGCCCACCCTCACCATGATGGCGTTTGGTTCTCGCTGCCACCGGGACGGGCATACAGAGCGCTCTTGTCGCGGAACATGGTCATTCGCTCCGTCTCCTTCTTGTCCAGAAAGTGGCCAAGGGCGAAGCCGAATAACGGCACGGCTGCCCACAGGGCACGCTTGTCCAGGCCGAGCACCATCTTAGCGGGATATTGACGAAATACTTCCTCCTAGCTCTGACTCTTTAGCTGAGCGCTGTGTGCCAACTGGTGTTGCTGGCGCTTCCACTTGCGGGTGTGCGACCAATCTGCGTAAATAGAGCCGACTGCAACAGTGGGAAAGAAAATCACTGCAGCGTACTTTCGAGCCAATTGCGAGACAACACTACTGCCCATAAGTCTGTAAAACAAACACAATATGAGACATGAGGATATGGTACGTAGGGAAGTCAGAGCGTGGTGGAGCACTGATGTTTGGATTACGTAATGGAAATGACAGGCAGACACTTTTTCATTTGTTAGATGGGAGTGCGGTGTTGGCAATTCTTACTATGATTTTGTTTACGACGTTTAAATGCTTCGGAAGTGCGAATTTTCTATAAATTCTGGATCCAATTTCATAAATTAGTTTTGTTTTGCAACTTACTTATAGCAGCGATAGCACTAGTGCTGCCGGACTACACAAATTCAATGCCCGAGCAGGCAGCACCATCAGCTGTTCAACTATCGATTGCTGCGATGCATTGGGTGCGATAGGTATTTGCACCGAAATATCATATTTAAATGCAATTTATTTGTTGATTTTTTTTCTTCACTTGTGTATATGCTATAGGACCTGATTTTCCTAGCATGCCATTTAAAATGAGTACTAATCTATAGGTTACAAATTCAGCTATAACTGGACAGTGCATATTTTACCGGTCACAAGTGTGCGGTCACACCAATTGCGAATTGAAATTGTTATTCGCGGAAAATCGGCGCTCGTTCGCGGGATTTTTTTTGTAAACTTTGCAAATCTGGATGCATTTTCTGAGATGATAGCCGTCGCAGAACCGCCACGGGAATTCGTTCCGCGTGGTCGTCAGGCGGCTGAAGAGCATCCCGGTCCACCGGATCAGCCGCTGTCCAAATACCAGCCCACCGAGCATTTTCTGCTACAGCGTCTTCAAAACGTGAACATTTCCGCCGGCGGCGTCACCGAGGAGCCGCAAGAGTTCTGGTCGATACGCGAGATCTACGACGACTACGAGGCCAGCAATGAGCGTACCCATCGTCGTACCCAGTTGATTGAGCACGCAAAGAAATGCGGTCCCAAGGTGGCCGCTGCCACCCAATTGTCTTCGCTGCCGCGACACCTGCTGAGCCCAGATATGGATCATCGCGAGGAGCCCATGTGCGACTACATGGTCAACAACGAGGAGGAGCTGTATGTGAACAAGAACACAGTCATATGGACCCAGGGCCTCGGCGACGCGGACGATGGCGTCTACAAGCGCATGTGCTTCACCACCGACTTTCCGGTGAAGTTTGCCTGCTTCTTGAACCGCACCTTCGTACGCGGCCGCCTGGCCCAGCTGAAGGCGACCATCGAGTCGGACGACGACAGCCTTAAGGCCATTTGCGTGATGGACTCGGATGCCATGCGAGTCTATTGCAATGATGGCGAGGATTTCCTCGCCAGCGTCGAGTTTCCCGTCGCCCAGCTGTGGCAGACGAAGCACGGCCTGCTGCTGGAAAAGGACGCAGACAATGCTCTGATCTCGAATCTCTCGATACCCATGCCGCGGCTGTTCTCCATGTCCCATCCGCTGCACGAGGCCTGTCCGGTGGTCCTCAAAACATGCACCAATGCCACCGGCTATGTGATAGAACCCGAATACAGTGTGATCTATACGACAGAAGACTCCGATCTGGTGCTGCTCTACGATGCAAAGTTTTTCAAGCATTTTGTTACGCGCCTGCGAAAGGTAACGCCCGAGGAAGTGAATCTTGTGCAGCAGGATCTGGGGCATACAACGATCGGGCCACGATCGTCAAGTGCCGCCAGCTTCAGCACACCCAAGGCCACAGGAAGTGAGTCCCAAATCCATGTTTTTATTCGAATTAGAATAGAATTCGATTTTATTCTCTTTCTTCCAGCCACGCCGAAAGTGCTGCCGAATGTCTCTGGGTTTCTGGGGAGGAATACCACCACAACGACCACTGGGGGCGCGCATACACACGCCCCACTGGGGCACAATCTCTCCAAGTTTGGACTCAGCCAATCGCAGTCGTTCAGCGGCGTCCTCGGCCAGACCAAGCAAGTGGTTCCCCCAGCCAATCCGAGAGCTCGCTTTTAATATATCTTTGTTTCTTGCCTTCAGTCGTGCCTCCCTGGGCACGCCGCTCAGTCAGCTGCAGAGCAGCTTCGGTCAGTCGATGTCCGCCAAGGATATGCGCAAGATGAGCCACGTGAAGCCCGCCAAGCCCATCGAGCCGGAGATGTGTCTGGAGCATATTTGGACAGAGAATACCTATGGCAGGTACGTGATTTAATTTTTCCTGTTCGGCTTTCTTTAAGTGGAATAAATGGGTTTCCGCCTCCCACAGACAACGCGACTTCTGCGAGATGGCCACGCGCGGCTTTATTCACACGGATCTGGTGGGTCAGACGTACATGTGTTATCTACTGGCCCGCTCCTGCCGCCTGCAGATGGTGAGGATCACGGGTTATGGCAGCACCGATGTCCAGCTCTCTACCATGGCCTCTACGCTGCCGGCCAAGGATGCTGTGGGCTTGAGTCGCATGCATATGATTGCTGTCCTGGATCCTGGTGGCAGTCTGATCCTCTACACGGGCACTGTGCTCATCTCCAAGGTGCACATCACACCGCTGCTTGCCTCCAGTGTGCCCAGCATATCGATGGTCACGCCCAAGGTTGTGCCAACAGCAACAGGAGGAGGGGGCTGCGCCAAGGCCACCACCAGCAGAAGCTCGTTTGAGGATGTGCGTCGTAGCAGCCTGTTGCCCTCCAAGGCACCCTCAGATCTGGCCGGCTTTGACGAGGAGCTGCACATGCTGTCGCCCATTGCCCCACAGGTCGTCTGCTATACGCCCCGCCAGGCGCACAATATCTGCAAGGCGCTGCGTGATCCGGCGGGTAATCGTTTGACCCTTGTCTATGCCACCGGCCGAATGCTGCGGATCGCCCTGCCGCTGCTGAATGACACACGACTGGTGACACGCTGCATTGCCACGCTGCGGCAGGTCCTGAATCCCACACAGTTTCTGCATTTCATCATCCGTTGGTACAGTGCCCGCAATCCGCCGGGGTCCCGTGATCTCAGCAGTGAACAAGAGTGGCAGATCTTTCGGAGTACGCTGCTCGCACTCATGGGGTGCACAGCGGCGCCCGATATGGAAACGTCGGAGACCTATGGCCGGTGTGCCACACCAGTGCCCCATTCACCCCAGACAGAGGAGAGCGGAGGAGCTGGCGGCGATTGCTTGAGTGCCAACCTCCAGAATGAGCCAAAGAAGCGGCGAAAGTACAACGATTGCGAGGAGTACACCGACGAGGATTGGGAGTTTCTGCTACTGCAGACAACACTGGCGCCATGCGGCAGCGACGGCCACAGCTACAGCGTGGACATGAGCGCCCCGCTCTTTCAGATGATACCCGCCATCTTCTATAGCCTGCATTTGCTGTATGAGGATCTCAAGTTGGATGTGATCTTTCAGGCGGCCGAGTCGTATTTGGCAGGGGTGTGTACTGTTTCCCTTATCGCCGGTACTCACAGAATGTCTTTGAACATCTCTCTCTCTCCGTTTTGCAGTTCCTACATCAGATGGCCATCGATATGCAGCTGGATAACTATGTCCTGCACTATGTCCTGGACTTTCCCGAGCTCACGCACAAGACCAGCAAGCTATCGCTGCTCAGTTTCGAGCACGGGGCCATGATGCAGCACCAGGAGCTGTTGCGAGTGCCCACGCCGAGTGTCTTTGGCCAGATGGAGCACATTTTGATGGCCCGCGAGGAGGTCTTGCCCTACAGCTTCATCGAGTGCATCAATGAGCGCAGTCGCAACATGCTGCAACTGCTGTCGCTGGTGTTGCACGGACCCGAGCGCATCAAGCACTGGTGGCAGCTGCTCGAGCTTCCGGAGGCCGTTCAATCGAACTATCCAAAGCGTCCCAAGCGCACGATAACGGGTGGTGTGTCCAAGTATCATCAGCTGCTGGAACTGCTGCTGGCCATGCGCTTTAAGCGGCAGGATATTGAGCGATTTCCGGCTGCAGTGCATCTGATTGTGGCCGATGCCTTGGAGGAGGCACGCGTTGCGCCGCCAATTAGCAGCAGCATGTCCGCCTATGATCTGATACTGCGACCCGAATTGGCCTCCCACTTTACGCTGGCATTCCTGGAGAAGAGCATCGAGCAGCCGCACTGCGGTCGTCTCTACAAGGAGGATTCACTGTCCGCGAGGTGTGCCATGAGTGTGGGGCAGGAGTGGATGACCACAGAGCCGGATGCGAATCTGCGGCACGATGATATGGACAATATGGACACGAAACTGCTAAGATTGCGCTTCCCGGACGACATGAGAGTGGAGGAGGTGCGTCGCCTGCTCAGCAGCTCCGAGCCGGTGCCCATCGAGGTGCACCAATCCCCCGGGACGAGCGATCATGAGTTCATCGAGGAGCAGGAGAAGCAATTGTTTGCTTTGTGCGCCCGCACCATGACCCTGCCTCTGGGCCGTGGCATGTTCACGCTGCGCACCCTACTGCCGAAGCCCAGCGACAGCGTGCCCATGCCGAAGCTCTGTCTGGTTGGCCGTGAGCCGCACAAGGGCACCACCATCGAGATGCAGCAGATCGAATTCCCCGCAAATATGAGCATGTGGCCATCGTTTCACAATGGCGTCGCCACCGGCCTGAAGGTCTCACCCCAGGCGCAGGATGTGGACTCCACGTGGATCGTCTACAACAAGCCCAAGGCTCAGGCGAATAATGCCCTGGAACATGCTGGCTTCCTCATGGCCCTCGGCCTCAATGGACACCTCAAAACGCTGTCCTTCATGAGCGTCTACAAGTACCTCGTGAAGTGCGATGAGATGACCAATGTGGGCCTCCTATTGGGCATTTCAGCCGCCCATCGTGGCACCATGGACACAAAGATCACCAAGCTATTGAGCGTTCATCTGGAGGCCCTACTCCCAGCCACCGCCATGGAACTGGACATTCCACAGAGCACACAGGTGGCTGCTCTGATGGGGATTGGTATGCTCTATCAGGGCTCGGCCAAGCGGCACATTGCCGAGGTACTGCTGCAGGAGATTGGTCGTCCGCCCGGCCCCGAGATGGAGAACTGTGTGGAGCGCGAATCTTATGCTATGACAGCAGGCCTGGCCCTGGGACTGGTAACCCTCGGGCAGGGTGAGTCGCCCGCAGGTCTCAGGGATCTCCAGCTGCCGGATACGCTCCACTACTATATGATGGGTGGGGTGAAGCGTCCCATCACGGGCTCCCAAAAGGAGAAGTACCGCCTGGCCTCGTTCCAAGTGCGCGAGGGCGAGAATGTCAATATCGATGTGACGGCCCCGGGCGCCACTCTGGCCTTGGGTCTGATGTTCTTCAATTCGGGGAATACAGCGATTGCCGAATGGATGCAGCCACCGGATTCGCGCTACCTGCTGGACATGGTGAGGCCCGATTTTCTGCTGCTGCGCACCATTGCCCGTGGGTTGATTCTATGGGAAAATGTACTACCGGACAACGAATGGTTCCAGGCGCAATTCCCTGCGAATCTTCGCGTTCATCTGCGGATGCCGATGCGCGATGATGAGCCCCAGGCAGAGGATGGAGATGTGGATTATGAGGCCATCACGTAAGCAGTCATCAGAGATTCCTCTTCCCGTTTTTATATCCCACATTTGTCTCTCCCTTTCGGCAGTCAGGCATATTGCAACATTGTGGCTGGTGCCGCCTTCTGTATTGGCCTGAAATACGCGGGCACTGAGAATTCGGTGGCCTTTGCCACTCTGCGGGCGGCCATCAAGGAATTCCTGGGTTTCCCTGGCACACCCATGGGCGAATATGCTGGCCGCACCACCGTCGAGAGTTGTCTGATGGTGCTGCTGATTGCCATTTCCCTGGTATTTGCCGGCTCTGGCAATTGTGAGATACTGCGCATCATACGGTTTTTGAGATCGCGCGTGGGTCCGCAGTATCCGCACATCACGTACGGCTCTCATATGGCCATACATATGTCGCTGGGACTGCTCTTTCTGGGCGCGGGACGCTTTACCATTGCCAAGACCCCGGAATCGATTGCGGCATTGGTGTGCGCCTTCTTTCCCAAGTTCCCCATACACAGCAATGACAATCGGTGAGACGGGGATCGAGGACTATCAAGGAGTAGTCTTAATCCCTTTTGTTCCTTTTCAGCTATCATCTTCAGGCCCTGCGACATCTGTACGTGCTGGCTGTGGAGCCGCGACTGTTTCTTCCGCGGGACATAGACACCCATCAGCTGTGTCTGTGCAACATTTCGGTGCTGGAGGTGGGCGCCAGTGAGCTGCGACGCCTGCCCATTGCCCCATGCATCCTGCCAGAGCTGAGTACGCTGCAGAAGGTGATCGTAGACGATGAAAATTACTGGCCAGTGTGCTTTGAGAGGTCGCGCAACTGGCATCAGCTGGAGAAGGCCCTGGAGATGAGTGCACCCATTGACATTAAGAAACGGACGGGCTGTCTCTCTCATTTGGAGGACCCGGACCGGCTGAAGAGCATGCTCGCCCAGACATTGACCCTCGAGCAAAGCATCTGCTGGCAGATCGACACGAACGATCTGAAGCGATTCGAGGCGGAGGTGCTGGTAAAGCCATTCATTAGTCGCTGCCTGGACATCAAAGGCACGCAGCTCAGTCACGAGGAACTGGTGAAACGTCATCAGTTGATCCTGCTGTTCTACAATGCGGTGGTCAAGGATCGTATGCATCTGCTACCCGTCTACCTCACCCTCTTCGATGTAAGTGATCCCCAGAAGCTGACGCCCAGAGTCGGCTCTCTATTGACTCTCTGCACTCTTTCTGTTTCGCAGCACGTGACGAAACCCATGCCCAACAACACGGATGTGTGGCAGCTGAAGCTGATTGATTCGTATCTGCGTCGTGGCAAGGAGTCGGATCATCCCCGACTCTCCGTGGAACTCATCCAGATGATGCAGGAGATCTTCAAGCAGAAAATGGAGGCCTCCACCACCCAACTATGCATACCGTTGCGTGCATTTCTCAGCCAGAAGCGACTGGAGCCCAGCTATGTGGCGACCATCAGCGGGCCCGATCTGCAGCGCGTCTTCTGTTTGATCAACTATTACAACCTGATGCCCAATATGCTGACTGGAGTGAATCTCAGTGGTGATTCGGTGAACTACTTGCGCTTGCTCTTTGCGTTCCGGCAGCTTAATCTCGGTCCAAACACCGTATTTGGCCTGCTCAAGATACTGCAGGCGCTCGCCTGCTGCCAGCCGACGATACTCGAGGAGGCTCCTTCGATCTTGACCATGGCCATGGGAGGGCCATGATACGCGCCTCTGGAGTTCATGAATGTAAATGATGTAATGTAAACGAATTCTATTTATACTATCTGTGGCTTACGTATATGTAGATAATTTACGCAGTAAAACAATACAGCGGGCTATTTTTTAAAATTTGTATTCGCATATGAATTCTGCTTTTAGATTTGCATTTTTTCATTTGGAATAGAATTGAGTACTGGCATCCTAATGTCGATGCACATGTGCCTCTATCATGGTTTTACTTCTCATTTAAATTGGAAACACATGTGCAGAATGAGTGATCCCCTTGTTATATTTGTTGGATGATTAGCTTTATTGAAGATTGATTCGTTGATGACTATACTAGCTTACTTCTAATTTCTTTCCTGTCGTTCTGTCCTTTTGGATCAGGGATTAGAAATACAGTAGCTTTATAGCCTTGGTTATTTTTAGTTTGGCCATCGCCACTTCCATTTCAAAAGCTTGGCATTTTAATATCATCTAACGATAAACGAAAAATTAATCTTTGAAGAAAAATGGAATCAACGCATGAACATTTCCGTACACTGGCTATTGCACTGCTGTCATATGACCGTACACCAGCAGATAGAGGCATCTTTGGTCATTAAAGGGGCCAAGATACATTCAACATTGCTTGAACAGTTGGCCGTCAAGAAGAATTGTTCTCGAGAGATTCAAGATCATTGACATTTGCCCCCAAACACACACATTTCAGAGAAGTAAAAAGTACTCTGAAGAATGGTTTTAGCGGATGCAAAGTGCATCCATCATAATGGAGAAAAGCAAATGATATTTTTTAGGTCCTGCACTTTAAGGCTACGGTCTCAAAAGACAGCCTTCGTTTTGAAACTGATCATCGGGTATCTTGGTGTCGAGGCACGCCTAACTCTATCGTCTATTTCTGCGATTTGTTGTTGGGCATTTATATACAATTTTCACCAATTGTTTGGGCTTTTTCCACTTTTTCTATTTGTTAAAAGAATATCTTTACATGAAGAAGAATCCTTAATTAATCAAATTTGGTATAACTTCATTGAATTATTTTTCGAGTCTGTTAATGACATGCTAGCTCCTGCAATCCTTCATTATGACCTCTGACACTCTGCGTGTAGGCCGTTTTATACCAATTTTAAAAAATGTCGATTACATCTTAGGGAAATCGATTTATAATTAAAACGAAAATCAACTACGACTTCTTGTACATTTGATACTTTTATGAGGGTTTCTTTATTATCAAATAATACGTGGAAGAGTGTGGAATAATCGTATCACTAAGATATTTTCTATAGTATAACAATCGGCTTGGCCTATAAAGCTACCTCTTCGGCGGCATACCATTGCAAGCCGCTATGTAAAAGATATGTATATATATAATACAGATATGTACAATCGGATGAATGAAACAAATATAAAGATACACAAATGCCGTTGAATTTCCCTCAAACAATGCGCTGGGACTCTCCTGCAGCCACCTCATCCGGCTTGGGGCGACAGCAGCGATTGTAGAGATAAATGCCGAGCAGGGGAAGCGGTGTCATCACGGCCACCGACACGGGCACCACTGTGGTGAGATCCGACTGCGGCGACTCGAGCGTGGTGGTCAGCAGGAAGATGGCAATGCCCGTGTTCTGTATGCCCGTTTCGATGGCAATGGTCAGGGCATCGGCGGCGGTCTGATGCAGCAGCTTGGCAGCCAGCCAGGCAAAAATGTAGCCTAGTCCGGGAAGGGCCATGCCGGCCACAGCAATCTGGGAAAGGAACAAGCTATTATACAGATCTCGATGGAGTTGTGGTTGTAATTGCGGCTCACCTGCCAGGAGAACAGATAGAATAGATAAAAGTTCGTGATGATCGCAAATATCACAATGAACAGGATGAGGCAGGCAGAGATGGGCTTCAACAGGCGCACGAGAACTCGCGTGAGGCGTGGCGAACGCTTCTGTACAGCCAAGCCCATCAGCAGAGGTATGATGAGGCAGGCACAGTAAGTGGCAATCGTTCCGTATGGAACCTGCATCCCGGCCCGCTCAAAGATCAGCTGTCCGAGTGTGAAAATCCACAGCGGCATCGTGACAAAGGCGGCCACATTGCTAACCGTTGTCATTAGCACCGAGAGATGAATGTTGCCGCCCAGCACCGCAGACCAGGTATTGGATGCCCCGCCGCTGGGCGAGATTCCCGTGAAGAAGAGGCCCAGCTGCATGGCCGGGGCCTCGGGGAATATGAATACTCCCAGAGCGTAGCTTAGCAGCGGCATACCCACCACCTGCATAACGAATCCGATGCAGGGACCGACTGGTCGCGTCACCAATCCCCGCAGCACATCTAGATTGAGGGCGGCCCCAAAATTTATGTACAGCAGCGACATAAGCAGGACGATGGAGCCGATGAAGACATGATCCACCACACGGCTCGGCCGCTGCACCTTCACGTCTAGCGTGCTGTCGTTGCTGCCCTGCGTCGGCAGCTGGCTGCTGTTCGACATGTTGTCAAACAGACGGACTGTGATCTTGGTCTCGCCCAGAAAGTGGGCATTCACCTGGATGTCGCCCGTCCAGTCTCGTGTGTCCGGATTCAACAGATCTACTGCTATGGTGGAGTTCTCCTCGGGCACACTGGCCAGGTCATTGGCGGCACTCTCCAGGCGGAAGACATATCGCTGGGGGCGCTGCAACGTTGACGGCGGCACGTTCTCCAGAGTGAGCGACACCCGATCGCCCTTCTCCATGCGCAGCGTGAGGCTGGATGGCCGAAAGTGTGCCATCCAGGCCATGGCAATGGGCGAAAGGCCCAGGGCGAGCATCAGCCACATCCATCTCAGCACAGGTGAGGCCATCTTTATATAATATATGCAAGTATCTTTCGCACGCTACAAGTCAGGTCGGATCTGGGAGAGAGCTGGGCGGCGAGTAAATCTAATGGAAAAGCGAAACGCACTAAAAGCACACATATTACCACCTGCAATTGCAACTGTAATCCCCCACTTGCAGTCAGCCAGACAGAGATGACTAGATGCTGTCCGATTGTACGATCGTCCATCTGAGCGTGCCAGAGCGGGACAAGCCGAGCCCGAAAACCGGCTAACAATCGAGAGCCAAATCTATCGACCAGGCCACCTCTAATCTTGAATACCCTCTCTCCTCTCAGCTCTGTTGATGCTGATAAAAATTATTTTCTCCAAATAAAAATAAGCTGACTCACTGAATCTCAGGCGTGCTCTTAGCAGATAACAGAATATAAATTTAGGCGGAAGACATCTGGCAGATGCGATTAACCCGCAGGCGCACAAGGCAATCAGGAAAACTAATGAGCCTAACCCTGGAGGGGATAGAGAATAAGCAGTTACTTGGTTGGGGTGGATTTCTCGCTGGAGAGTGTACGTGAGATGGGTTTTTATTGGAGCTTTTGGCGGATCAGTATTTAAAAAAAAAAACGGTATAAGAAAAGAATAAAACATTTAAAAGAATTGGATAACTATTTGTGTCTCCACTGGGTTTACTCAGTAGCGGTAGTGGTCGGGCTTGAAGGGTCCCGTCTTGGGCACACCCAGATAGCTGGACTGCTTCTCCGTCAGTTTGGTGAGCTTGACGCCGAGCTTTTCCAGATGGAGACTGGCCACTTCCTCGTCGAGAACCTTGGGCAGGACGTGGACGCCGACCTTGTACTGGGCGGACTTGGTCCACAGTTCGATCTGGGCGAGCACTTGGTTGGTGAAGGAGTTAGACATTACAAAGCTGGGATGGCCGTGGGCACAGCCCAAGTTAACCAGACGGCCCTCGGCCAGGAGGATGATGTGACGGCCATTGGGCATGGTGTAGCGATCGACCTGGGGCTTCACGTTCACCTTCTCCTTGGCATTGGCATTCAGCCAGTCGACATCGATCTCGATGTCAAAGTGGCCGATGTTGCAAACGATGGCATCGTCGGGCATGTTGAGCAGGTGCACGGAGGTGATGATGTCGCGGCAGCCGGTGGTGGTCACAAAGATGGATGCCTCCTTGCTGGCCTCCTCCATTGTGGTCACCTCGTAGCCCTCCATGGCGGCCTGCAGGGCATTGATTGGATCGATTTCGGTGACGATCACCCGTCCACCGAATCCCTTCAGAGCCTGGGCACAGCCCTTGCCCACATCACCGTAACCAGCGACGCAGCACACCTTGCCGGCGATCATCACATCTGTGGCGCGCTTGATGCCATCGATCAGGGACTCCCGACAGCCGTACAGATTGTCGAACTTGCTCTTCGTCACGGAATCGTTGACATTGATGGCCGGGATGCCCAGGCGGCCGTCCTTGAACATCTTGTAGAGGTTGTGGACACCCGTGGTCGTCTCCTCGCTGAGACCCTTGATGTCCTTCAGGTACTGGGGGAACTTCTCGTGCACCAGATTGGTCAGATCACCGCCATCGTCCAGGATCATGTTCAGGGGCTTGCCATCGGGGAAGACCAGAGTCTGCTCGATGCACCACATGTACTCCTCGTCCGTTTCACCCTTCCACGCGTACACAGGCACACCGGTGGCAGCAATGGCAGCCGCGGCGTTATCCTGTGTGCTGAAGATGTTGCAACTGGACCATTGGACCTGCAACAAGAGAGGAAAAGAGAGGGAGAGAGATGGTGTCACAGCAGCCGTTGCCAAGTGTGGATGTACAAAAGTGTCTAGTCAGAGGAAATAACAATACTGAAGCATCACCATATCAATGAGAGCCAGGGCCCCCATTGACCCTGCTTATCTTTGGGTTGCGCCTTGAACTTGCCCCCCGGCGAAGCAGAAACTATTGTTTTTCGGCCAATCGATTGTTGTGCGTAAACAAAACGAAGATAAGAAAGGGTATAACGGGGGCAGATCTTACCTCAGCGCCCAGCTCCACGAGGGTCTCGATGAGCACCGCCGTCTGGACGGTCATGTGCAGGCAGCCGGTGATGCGAGCCCCCTTCAGGATCTTGGACGGCCCGTACTTCTTGCGGCAGGCCATCAGGCCGGGCATCTCGTTCTCCGCAATGATAATCGCCTTGCGTCCCCATTCGGCCAGACCGATATCGGCTGTCGTGTAAAAAATGGCAGAGATACGGGGAAGATAAGCAAATATTTATGAAGATGTGTTAGTAGCCTGGCAACAACGTGCGCAGGCTGTTCGCTCGCCTCGCTCCTCTTTAACCTCAGAAACATGTGCAAAGTGCGGTGCGGTGCAGCACATGGACAAGGAATTTCGGTTCGCGCGCTCACTTCTACAGATGTGCCTGTTGCCGGGAGCAGAAGCAATGCTTCCTCGGGCATTTATTTTTAAACTCACCAACTTTGTAGGCAGGCTTCGACATGTTTTTAGGCAAGGATTTGGTTCTACAGGCGCAGAGCAGAAAGATTAATGCACAACCGAATTGAAGTCGCGGGCAGCGGTTAATGAAACAGCAATATGGGCGCCGGTGCCGGAATCACTTGAAGTTCAGGCGGAGCTGACGCAATTGGTTCCTGAACCTGTTCATTTGAACCTGAACGGATGTGATTCATCCACATAACGTAAATTCTAGGAATAGTAAATAAAAAATTTAAAGGAATAAGCATTGCTTTTCTAAAATTTACCTAAATGGAAAAATAGATATAAAATAACTGGCAATATATTACACCATATACAGCCATAATCTCTTAATTGTTTGCTTACCATCGCTAAGTGAAGTCATCGATAGCAACCATCGATAGACCTGCAGCTATTGATGACACAGCTTTGACCGAGCAGCAGCGAAAATATACACAGCGAAAAGTGAGAATTCGAGTGCGTTTTCGTTGGTCATAGCTGAAGCAAGCAATTAATCATCTTTAGCTAAGAACATGTCCGGCTCCGGTCTTGATGAAAATCCCTTTGGCGAGCCCAATCTGGACAATCCGTTTGCGGTAAGTCCGGAATGAAAATTCCAACCGACACACACGCACCCACACAAACACAGTCACAATCACAGAGTGAGTGAGTTCATGCATGCGTGGGTGTGTGAGTGCTGCAACGACGACACCGTCGCATATGTTTAATTTTCTTATATGTCCTATAACCCGTAGGATCCCGCCATACAGCAGGCAAGACGTCAGGCTGGCGCTGCCTTGGTTTCATTGGAGGACTACAATCCCTTTGAGGAGCAGGCCAAGCCACAGCTTCAAATCAACTCCACGAACACGGCGGCCGTCGTTCAGCCGCTCTCACAGAACGTTCCACCCCCACAGACCAGTTCGCTGGGCGCCTCGGCGCCAAGCACTAGCATACAAATCACCTCTGAGGAACTGCAGGTACGTGCGTGCCCCAGTGTGGGAAACAGATCTGTGTGTGAGTGCGTGCTAGATCAGTAGAAACAAGAGACAAAAAGACAACAACATTAAAAGAAAAAAACCGGCACACGACGGTTTCGCGTTACGAACGCTTTTCGAATGCGGAATGTACAGTGAATGCTCTTCATAGAGGGTCGCCACGGGCCTATCTGTTGGATCATGCGAGGAAATGTTTAATTGCAGAACACACCCGATAAAGACGTATCCGTCGTTATCTACCGTCTTGTTTTGTGATAAACTCATCCGTCCCGAAATTGTTCTTGGATCTTGTAAAGTCATTTTTCCCGCAGATAATCTAGGGGTACGCACTGTAGACATTCTCCGCTTGCGGTTGCATTTCTGGGGCTGCCATATGTGGGCGTTGCTTAGGGCCGGGTCCAACGATTATCAATGAATTGCAAACATAATGCTGATAATTCTTCTCTCCCTTTGTCTTTGCATCGACGTAGCGACGGCAGGAAGAGCTGGACCGCAAGGCTGCCGAGTTGGATCGTCGCGAACAGCAGCTCCAAGGAAATGTCCCACAGCTGAACAACTGGCCCCCGTTGCCGGATAATTTCTGTGTGAAGCCGTGCTTCTACCAGGACTTTGAAGTTGAGATACCCCCAGAGTTTCAGAGACTGGTGAAGCATTTGTACTACATTTGGATGTGTGAGTATTATATGGCGTTTTTCGTTAGCTGCTGATAAGCCAGCCGATCGACCGACCGGGATTAGTCATCCATAATAGAACGTACATATATGTATGTACGTTTTATTATTTATAGATTTGATTCGTTTTAAAAAGTGCATACCTTCTGCCGGTTACCTGAAATGTTTGCTAATCTCGGGTTCCCTCCACCCATCCCCTCCCTGTCTCTCTACCCCGCGCAGTCTATACCATGACGCTGGTGGCCAATGTGATTGGGGGTCTCATCTTGTTGTTCCATTCGGGCGATTTTGTCACTCTGTTCCTGGCCCTGTTCTACACAGTTCTATTCACACCCGCCTCGTATGTCTGCTGGTAAGTGCCGCTGTGCGATATATGCTCTGTAAAATTATTTTTAAATATCTGTATCTTTCTCCCCCTTGATAGGTTTCGGCCCGCGTACAAGGCCTTCCGCAACGATTCGAGCTTCAATTTCATGGTTTTCTTCTTCATTTACTTCTTCCAAACAATATATTCGGTGGTGCAGGCCGTTGGCTTTAATAAGATGGGCTATTGCGGCTTTATAACGGCCATCTCTCAGTTTGATGGCAACGCGGCGGGTATAATTGTGGGAATATTGCTGCTAAATGTTGCATTCTGCTTCACGGCCGTGGCCGTGGCCAATATACTGATGATCACCAAGATACACACGATCTATCGCAGCACTGGGGCCAGCATGGCCAAGGCCCAGGCAGAGTTTACCACGGAGTTTCTGCGCAATCAGCATGTCCAGGAGGCGGCCTCATCAGCGGTCAATACGGCGATCAGTTCGCAGTTCAACAACAGCAGATACTAGGCTGAACAAACAGAGAGACAATCAATGAATCAATCAATCAACCACATTGTATTTTGGCACATGGAGTCGCAAGCTCCAGCACCCATCCACAGAGATAGTTGGCTTCGAAAATCGGCACAGAAAGAAACGAGATGGAGGCGCAACAGAGCGTGAAACAGAAAGAGAGAGAGAAAGAATTCAGAGGAAGCATTATTAAGAAGAAAACTAAAGGAAGCATTGGAGGAGAGGAGCATTGAACTAATAATTAATTGCTTTTGTGCATAAATTCCTAATTCCTAGAATGCCGTCGTCTTTATTGCAAATAATTACTGTAACAATATGATAGAACACCAAAACACCATTTACTAACAAATACTTTATAGAAATGAAACAAAAAGCAAACAAGCAACTGGAAACTAAGTAAGAGCCGAGAAAAAACGTTTGCCTCACTAGTGGCAAGGCAGGTAGATGACAGACAAAACCCGATTCAAATTAACAACATAACATATAAATTAAAAACAATTACAATATCTGAGTACATATATATACGCCTAGGTATATGTATATATGTAAGAATGCTTTGAGTACAGGGTTTTTGTGTGTGTTTTTCCTAAGAAATTATTAATTTATGCAAGAATTTATCCAGACACGGATATAACGGATATTGATAATGCTGCTGATGGATGATGTTTTCTAGTTCTTTAAGTCCCACGCGTCACACCTCCGCCCTCACACACATGCACACAGACACAAGCACACATACAAATACATTCAAGGCATATATATATATATACGATTATACATATAATATAAATAATATATTTAACGCATACATTATAGAAATTTATCTCTTGTCGCCTGCCCCGCCTTCCCCGCCCCCCTAAACCCCAACACCTCTACAAATCAAATTTTTTGATCACTCGTCCACCACACGCCTTCCGCCCCCCTCCACGGCGCTCTTCGCTCTGTTCTCCACACTCACATGTAATGTCGTGTCGTGTTTTTTTTGTAATCGTAATTGTTGTATATTATATATATCTATGTGTATGAAGAGAGCATATAAAATATTGATTCACCCATTTTCTAGATACAATTATTTTATGTTTTACATTTCCCCCCTCCCGCCTTCCGTTTGCTTGCAAATCGAAACAAAACAAAAGTTATGTTATGGCATATATGTATTTATCTCTAAAATTGCGCCCGCGACGATGATCTATCGATTGTGTATTTGAAATTCAAGCAAAATTATGATAATTTAAAAAATAAATATAAATACCTATAGATGTAAGGAGGCGTTGAAGCGTTTTTGGTGTGGATAATAATTGGGTTAGTGCAAAGACAATACAACATAATAGTAACATGAGAAACGCCCACTCGTTGGGCACTCGTTTTATTTTTTTGTGCTTGTCTTTTGAGGCTCTTTTAAAATGTTATTGAAAAGCCGAAAAAGAACGCTCAAAAGCCAAGCGCTCGGTCTTATACGTCTGTATGACTGTATGCGTGCGCACGTATTCTCACGCATTCTAGATCTTCCTACCTGTATGCGTTTTTTACAGCGCTTTCGAAACTCGTCGTATACTTTAAACACATTTGGAAGACGCTTACCCCCAATTGGGATAATTATTATTTTGTCTATCCTTTATATACTCATTTTCTTAGTGTAAAATATACGAATATAATGAGCGGGTATACCTATGTAAAAATACATACCCTGATTCGGCGTACGACGCGTCGTGTGAATAAGCAACGAATTTGTATCCTTCAGCAAATTTGACCAGTTATATGAAATTACATTTAGTTCATATTGTTAAGATCCATTTTTCCCACAAATCTAATGTACCCCTATACTCTTTTTGAGTACCGCTCGCGAATCAGCTGTCTTTGGTTAAGGTATTTTGATTAGGTTTCCGAAGATTCACGGTTATCGCTCAAAGATCTTCCAAGTCTAAGCCATATAAATCTTCAGTCTGAACCCCCCGTCTTGAATCAAATTAACTCTTAATAAGTTTTTTTTTAATAGCCGCCATTGTTTTCTTCATTTTTTTTGTCATCTATTTTAGGAATTTGATTGGCTTTTAAATTTAATATAACATGCGGAGACTGTTTTGATTTTGTATTGAACAAAATTCATAAAATTTAGTCAATTTGGTCTTAGAACGGGAACCTACCCTTAAAGTGACTCTGCTCTCGTTTAAAACCTAACTCGAACGTTTCGCATAGCTCAGTAGCTCAACAATCAGATTCTGGATATATTTTAAGAGCTTCAGTGTGCTATATGGATGAAAACCCACCCTTATCCGAGCAGTCTCTTACTGGGAACTAGTTTTCTTCCTTGGAATTTGTTTTTCTCTGGTCAGAGTCTTGAAATTATTGCTTTATTTGTTTAAAAACTAATGGATTTGAATGGGCTCTGGGGGGGGGGGTGCATGTTTGCATCGAATCATTAGATGCCAACCTTTTCTTGAAATATTAATTTTACAAATTCTAAAACGCTAAAACACCAATCAGCAGATCCGAGAATATAAAGCGGGACCACTCAGAATCACTCCAGCTTGATTTTTCTTTCGAGGGTTTTTTGGCAGGTTACCTTGCCATTGAAGCCATCTCCGTTAGCCGACAAGGA